TCATACTGCAGGCAGGAAGAACTGAAGGTAGTCAGGTTAGTGTTCTAGATTTCAAGAAAGCTGATTTCAGTAAGCTAAGGGGAAAAGTAGGAAGGATTCCATAGGTGGAAGTCCTGGAGAGAAAACAGTTCAGGAGGGTTGAGAAATTTAGAAAAATAAGATAATTAAACACAAACAATACCAAATAGAAAGAAAAAGGTTGAGACAAATGATGCAACCAGTGTGGATGCATAAAGAGCTCTCTGATGACCTGACAAACAAAAACAAGTTTTAAAAAATAGAAAAAGAGGCATATGACAAAAGCCCAATCTAAGGAAATGGCCCAAATCTGTAAGGATGGGGTCAGGAAGAGCTGAGCATTGCAATGAACATAAAAATAACAAAAAGACAAAGGCTTATTTGGGTATGAGCAGAATAAAAGAAAAGTCAGTCCATTGGTTGGAAAACATGGCAAGGGGGTGACAGACCACAGGGAGAAGGTTGAACTGCTTCATTTCTATCTTCCATCTGTCTTTTCACAAAAGGAAAACGTGGTCCAACTTGTCAGAAGATGTACCATGGGGGACAGAAGCCAAAAGTGGTGAGAGTAACACCTAGCTATTTTTAATGAATTCATGTCATTGGAACCTGATGGATTACATCCCAGGGTGCTAAAGGAATTGGTGGATGTGATTTCAGAACCACTAGGTATAATCTTTGAGAACTCATAGAGTACAGGAGAGGTGCCAGAATTTGAAGAAAAGCTAATGTTGTTCCAATCTTTAAAAAAAAGGGGGAAAGTGGAACCAGGAAAGTATAGACCAGTCAGCTTGTTTGACATCAATGCCTGGGAAAATCCTAGAAAAGATCAAGCAGTGGGTTTGCAAGTGTTTAGAAAAGAACCAGCTGATTACAAGAAGCCAGCATGGATTTGTTAAAAATAGGTTGAGCCAGACTAAGCTTACTGTTTTTTTTGTTTTGTTTTTTGACAAAGAGACTAGATTAGTAGAGCAAGGGAATGCTGTGAATGCAGTGTACCTAGACTTCAATAAGGCATTTGATTAAATTGACCATAGCCACCTTCTTGATAAAATGGAACACTGTGAGATGGATGGTCTCCTACCACAGTTCACAGTTGGCTGAATCACCATACCTAACATGTGTCCTTATGTATCCATGTCTATATGGAGAGAGGTAAGCAGTGAAGTACCTGAGGGTTCTGTTCTGGGCCCAATGCTTGTCAGCCTTGTGAGGTAGTCCAGACAGGAAGCACACCCAGATGAACTAATTCTACTTTATTGTAAGGTTGTTACATTAACAGAATCTTGCATTTCTTTCCTGTTGCCTTTACAGCCCAAGAAACTAGGGAGGGTCCCTTCTGAGACATTTGCCATGCCCACATTCCTGCTGTGGACTAAGCTGCCTCTTATCCAACCTTTCCCCTGGCTCTGGCTGTTCCCCCTGTTTCCCACGGTCACTCCCACATACCATTATAGTGCTCTTCAACATTTTTATAAACAACTTAGGCGAGGGAATAGAAGGGATGGTCAGCAAATTTGCAGACAACCCAAAGTTGGAGGATTTTTAACACCTCAGAAGAAAGGCTCAAGTTCAAAAGGATCTCGATAGACTTGAACACTGGGCCTTTCCCAACAAAATGCAGTTCAGCAGTGAGAAATATAGGTCCTGTAATTAGGTAGGAAAAATCTGATGTACAAGTACAAGATAGGTATTACATGGCTCAATGGTCATACTTGTGAGAAGGATGATCCAGCAATGTGCTGCAACTGCCAAAAGAGCCAATACAATCTTAAGTTGCATCAACAGAAGCATAACGTTGGGATCATGGGAAGTTATATTTCTGCTCTAAGTTTCACTGGTAGGACTGCAACTGGAATATTGTGTCCAGTTTTGATTACAACAATACAAGAAGGATGCTGAGGAACTATAGAGAAGAGCAACAAAGATAGTGAGCAGCTCAGAGGCTAAATCTTACGAAGAATAGTTAAAAGAACTGGGTGTGTTTAACTGAAAGAAGAGAAAACTAAGGGGAGACATGATAGCAGTCTTCCAATGTTTAAGGGCTGTCACAAGGAAAAGGATGTGGATTTATTCCCTGCAGTGCCCAACAAGAAGCAATGGGTGGAAGCTTTACAGAGAGAAATGCAGCTAATTTCCTAACCTTGAGAGCTATTAAAAAGTAGAACGGCCTATTCCTGGAGCCGGGGTTGCTCCATCACTGGAGATTTCCAAGAAAAGATTAGGCAGCCATTTATCTAGGATGGTCTGAGGATTCCTGTCCTGGGCAGAAAATCCCAAGATCCCTTTCAGCTCTATGATTCTATGACTTCTAACTAAATTACAACAGGACGGTGTGGAACTTTTAAAAAATGGAATCAGGCATTTTTAGTAATGGGTAGGGACTTTAAATAAAGGATTTGTAATCTCTTTCATACCAACTTTAGCCTGTCTCATGGGAAGCTGTTATTTGTATTTAGTCAGCTTGGTTGTATACAGTTCCATCCATTGCTCATTGTAAAATTTCCAGCATTGCAAAAACACATTTTGCAAAGCTGAAGTTTCTGTTTATTTCTAATAAAGAACAAGACTTCACAGGCAAATGCCGTCAGTTGTAAAAAGAGGAATTTGTGATATCCTTTTTCTCTGTGTTGTAATCATGAAGATGTTCTGTGTTATTGTTACATGAGTCCTATCTGTAAATAGTATGTGCAGTGTTTAGAGAGTTAAGTTCTTATTTTTGCTAAATTTACAACTTTTAAAAAAGGAAAAGAATGCAAGACTCAGGCAAAGATGGGGAAAACTGTTCTTGTGGGATTTGAGGGAGCCAGTTCAAAGATGTTACATCAGAAACAACAATGTTCTTAACAGCAAGTTGTTGCTATAAGTCTAATAGGGGAAAGTGTGTTTATGCAGGGTCAGAGAACCCTTAACCCGGGGTTTTCTGTACATAGACAAAAAGGAGAGACAGTCTTTGAGAAATACAAAATAAGTTCTCAGTTGTGACATCAGGCTATAAAATGCCTTCTCCGGGGTCAGACTAACACTGATATTAGTATCTCTACTCACCCACATTTTTTAATTTCCTTATCTCTGGATCCACCCTCCTCAGAAATCAGATTCTGACAGATGGCTAATCCCACCACTCTAACCATCTGTCAGAACTTCCCTTGCCTCCCAGCCCTGTCTCACGTTAGAAAGAATGTACGATGGATATTTTCTCTCGCAAGAAAGAATAGAAATAAAACAGATAACATAACAAGGCACTAAGAACAAGAAACAGCCAAAAACATGCTGGAACAAGATGTTTTGTTTGTAAAAAGTGAGCAAGGTTTGGGCCATTCATACTTCCAGGGGAAGAGTGTCCCAAACAGTGGGGGCCACTACTGAGAAGGCCTGTTGCCTATTTGTCACCCCATGAGCCACACAATGAGAGACCCTCAAGAGGCCGTCCCTAGGAACTGGACTGGATAGGCAGATTCTCTCCTGGCAAGGCATTGCTTGATATATCCTGGTGCAGTGCGCCTAGCTTCGCTGAATTTTTGGCTAAAAATAAAGCACTACCCGCAGGGCCTAGCTCCACTTATCCTTCAAGATACATTTCAATCCTTGTGGAAAAAGGATATCAAGCTCAACCTCTCTAAGTTAGGCTATTCTTCGGCTGGGATTCTAGCAATGGATTATGAGCAAGCAAATATGGCCATAAAGCAAAGGACAGAATTTATTGAACGTCAAGCAATTTAAGGGAAGGTTCCATCCTTTTTGTCCCCGCCATGTAGCAAGTA